AAAACTACCTTCCTCCCATTCTCCTACTCGATTAAACTCGACCACTGTAGCTGCCGGGTCGGAAATCTACCAAATTGGCGGAATAAACAAGACCAAACGATCCAGAGCCGTTAGTGTGCTTGATTGTTGTAGTCACAAGTGGCGTCGTGCTCCTAACATGAGGTTACCAAGGGTAGACGCCAAGTCTTGGTTTTTAGATGGGAAGATATATGTAATGGGAGGATGCAGAAAAAGAGAGGAATCTATGAATTGGGGTGAGGTTTTAGACCTAAAAACTCAGACTTGGAAGCTATTGCCTTGCCCTAGTGACAATGGCGTCGATTTCAATCACAAGGAAAACGTTGCAGTTTTGAGAGGAAGGCTATACGTTACCACCAAGGATAAGAACTATGTATATGATCCAAAAGAAGGAAGATGGAAGGAAACATTAGAGCTGGGTTCGGGTATTTGTTTTGGTTTGAGTCTAGAATCTATAACTGGACCTTGGTGCCTTGTAGAAAACGTAATGATTAATGATAATGGCGGTAGATACTGGTGGTGGTATGAGTCAAGTAGTGGAATGATTCCGGGTTTGAGTGATCTGTATATGAAGCGTGCACGTAATTACCGCACGATTCGATTAGTTAATTATGGTGGGAAACTGTTAATTATATGGCAAGCGACGATCAACAAGAGAACTTGGTATGCGTTGATCAAGTTGGAGAAGCGTTTGAGTTCTTTTGAACCCCAGATTTGGGGTGAGGTTGAGCGGTTCAACGTTTTTGTGCCTACAATTCCCAAGCCATACGAGCTCGTGAACTGTTTATCCGGTTTGAGGTGAAAAATGTGATTTGCTTTCGTTATTTGGTTAAGTTTTCATTTAAGGCAATTATAGATTCTCGTAGTTGTGATTCTTTAATTTGGCGACTATATCCCTAACTTTTTTTTTTTCTCGGGAACATCTCTGCCTTAGTTGTTAAATTTGCTATAAATTTTAGTGAAAATCATTATTTTTTTTAAATTAGTTTAAGTGATAAATATATATTTCGTGAAAACATGCCGAACTTCGAACACCAAAGTTTACGGACCAACTAAGGATATGATGTCTATGCGAAGTTACTTTTCGACGTTTTTAAAATTTAACATTTAAACTAATTCTTAAAAAGTAATAGTGAAATTAACATGGTTTTGGTTAATTATTTTCTTAAAGTTTAATTGTTTATTTAAAATTATAAATAATTATTATTTTTGAAACCATAAGTTTAATTGTTTTAATTCACAGTTAATCTTTTAAAACTAATTTAATATTTAAACTAATCTTAAAAAAAATAAAAAATAAGAATGAAGAAAGTAGTACCTTGTTGGATTTGATAGAAGGCCTCATAAAAAAAAGCCCATTCCAAATTTGAGCCCATCAGTAACTCTCTCGTGACATCATCCACCACTTGCGACTTTGGTGAAAGCACAAACCGGATTTGGTGATGATGATCGTTGAAACACAAATTGCTCTTCTTCCTCCGCAGGCGACTCGTAGTCTAAAGCCATCGAAACACCGAACATGCTAAATGGTCGTCAATTTCACTATCCCTCTCTTCGCCATCGTCTTTCTCACATCCTTCTCCGTCGTGTAATCATCTCCTTCGTCGCCGTCGAAAGAATCCTCCGGTGAAAGCGTTTCGGTGGCGAGATGTTTGATCGTGTAAAATTAGGGAGACACAAACTAAAAATTGAACCTGATTGATCGAAAGCACATCAGTGATCAGTCTCGCAGAGCTTTGATCGAGAAGAGAAATTTTATTTTGGTATAAAAAGAAAGAAGAAGAAGAAGAAGAAGAAGATGAAAGATGAAAGATGGTTTTTTGGTTTTTGATTTCTCAACGAAGAAGAAGATATGAGAGAGACTATTTTTAAGCAAAGGATCCGTTGAGGAAAGGAAATTTTGCTGTTGCTATTTCCTTTTTCGACTAGGTTTTTGTTATTTCCTTTTTTTTTTAATGTTTTACGAAGAAAAGGAAATTGATCAAGGTAAGAAAAAGTTACATTACATTACCGTTACAACAAAATAATATCTTTCTTACTGCGTAACAATCAATTAAGGTAATTTATTTGATGTTTCGTTAAGAGTAAACAGAGCAATCTTTACGGAGAATGAACCGTTGATTGAATATAGTTACTCTGCTTTTGCTCTGTTTTACGTAAGGGTTTTAGCAATAAAATTGTAGTTGATAAATGAATTTTTTTTTTGTCAAAACATGTTTTCTTCTTTTTACATTTGTCTGATAACATACATATACCTACTTTAGCCACAACCTGTGTCTCACCAGTAATTTCCACACGAGCAGCGACCATTGGAGAAGTGATGAAAAATCTTGGAATCTCCAACAACTATCTCTCTTCTTGTCATTTTCGAAGCTTTTTCCAAGAACTCGTGACATTTTCTGCAGATTCTCGTGTTATTCCTCACCGTAACTGTTTTTCCCGTTTCCGTAGAGATCAATCCAAAACATGTGGCGAGCCTTACCGAATGTCTTCTTGGTGAATTGCTTCTGCTCTTAACTAGAGTCTCTGGTCTCAACTTCGAGACACAGCGAACATAATTGTCTTCTTCTTCTTCTTCTCCAATCATCCTCGACACAATATCTAAGACTTCATAGATCTTGCTTGCCTCCACGTGGGATCTGTCTCCGTTTGTTAACACATGCGTTTTGCTCTTCGCCTCAACAGTACTGCGACTTGATGTTCTGGATATGCCTTTGCTCTCCATGAGAAGCTTAATCCTATTTACATCTTCCCATCTTCGAGCTTCTGCATACATGTTCAAAAGCAAGACATAACATCCCGTGTTATCGTGTTCCATCTTAAATATCTGTTCTGCCGCGAATTCAGCTACGGTTATATCGTTATGGTTTCTGCTTGCATTTAACAAAGATCCCCAAATCCGAGCTGTTGGCAAAAATGGCATTTCTTCAATGAATCTCTTGGCTGCGCTGAAGTTTCCTGTACGGCCAATGAGATCCAGCATGTACCCATAATGCTCTATTCCAGGATCAATCCCGTATTCTCTTTTCATCGACTCGAAATATTCCCATCCTTCATCAACCATACCAGAAATGCTACATGCTGCTAATAGTGAAGCAAAGGTGCTCTTGTTTGGATCTACTTTAGAAGCAATCATCTCTGAGAATAAGCAAACCGAAATTCTCCCAAAACCGTGTACTGCATAGGCCATGATGATGCTGTTCCATGAAACAACATCCTTTAACAAGACGTGGTTGAAACATTTTCTTGCATCCTCAAGGTCACCACACATGGCATACATGTGAACGAGTGAATTCAAGATGATAGTGTTTGACCCGTATCTAGACTTAACAATATAAGCATGAATTTGTCTACCTTCATTCAAGGATAGAGATTCTGCATAAGCTGGTAGAATACTAGCAATTGTTGTGGAATCAGGTACAAGCGATGAATCCCAGAGTTTTTGAAATAGCTCCAAGGCTGAATAGTTCTTCCCGTTCTGCACATAAGCAGCAATAATCGAGTTCCATGAGATCAAATTCTTTTCAGCTATTCGATCAAATATAACCTCAGCTGATTTTAACTGCCCACATTCTCCATACATATCAATCAGGGCAGTTTCCAATACTATATGAGGAAGAAAGCCACTCCTCATAGCATAACCGTGAATTGTTCGACCCTCCAAGATTGCACAAGCAGGAAGCAGATTGATCATTGTAATAACATCTGGCTGCAACCCATTTTGCTCTGACATTTTCTGAAAGCAGAGAAACGCATCAGTGACTCGGCTATTTCTAGCATAACATCCTACCATAACATTCCAAACTACGATGTTCCTCTGGATCATACCGTTAAATATCCTCTCAGCGTAACTCACTTCACCATATTTACTGTACATGTCAAGGATTGATGTCATTACCATAACATCACCAGTTTCAATTCTACTTCGAACAGCGTGGCAATGTATCTCCTTTCCCATTTTTGGACTATACACATGAGAACAAGCACCAAGAGCGCTCATGGTACTGAACCTGTCCGGTCTAAACCCACATTTCAGCATTTTTTTAAACAGTATCAACGAGCGAAAGCCATCTTCAAGTGCAAGATATCCAGAAATCATGGAATTCCACGAAACAATGTCTCTCTCAGGCATTTGGTCGAACAGTTTCTCTGCATCCCAAGCACACCCAAGCTTCATGTACAAAGATATAAGAGAATTACATACGTAAACATCTGAAACAAACGCAAGCTTAATCACCATTGCATGAATCTTTTTCCCTTCTTCCAATGACGAAATCCCAGCAACCGATTTAATCACGAAAGGATAAGTAAAGGAATCGCCTTTGATTCCTGCAAACACCATTCTGCTATAAAATTGAACCGCTTCATGATACAACCCACAGCTAACGAAACCTCTGATCATCACATTCCAAACGAAAACATCAGCTTTGTTCATTTCATCGAACAGTTGGAGTGCATCCTCCATGAGACCGGAATCAGCGAATCCACGCAAAGCCCTCGTGAGCGCAGGATCATTGAGCTGCTTAGTTACCTTGGATCTGTTTCGATGAATTAGCCGGCTCGGTTTCGAGAATCTCTGGTACTCGAGATTTTGCTTCCCCCTTGTTTGGTGATTCTCAGAAGAAACACACTTGCACGCGTCGCAATTGTAGATACGGTAGCATCGAGACAGAAGAGTCGCAGCCATGAATTCCGGCGAATTCGTACCGGAAAACTGAGAGAATTCAAGCAAATTTGTCTCTCGTAGTCTTCTTTTGCATCTTCATTTTCCCGCGGGAAAATGTTTTGTTACTCTCGTAAAAAGTAAAAACCAGTCTACAATGACGTAATTAATCCTATTTTTCTTAGTGTTTAAAAAAAAAAAAATTCTGAATTACCACAAATTCTCCATTTTTAATATCTATGAACCTTAGAAGTATATGATTTTATGCGACGAATTATGAATTATGATGATGATCAAGTATGTATGATTTACACAAACATATAATGTTGAGACTTTATTGAACAATGAAAAACCATGTGGTAAATCAAAATACATAAAAGGTTTTAAAGGGACTGAAAAAATATTTACAAATTCTTCCAGAGGAGTTTTCTTTCAAGAGAAGAAGTCTTCATGGCTATTACCATCTTCATCATCAGTTGCATTTTCATCGTCGCTCTGATCATTGAAGGTGAGGATAAGATCAAGAAGTTCTCTTCCAGTGGCTGAAGATGATTCTCCTTCTCTCTCTGGACTACTACTGCTCCGGTTTTGCAGCGAGAAGAGTTGGGCCAATAGTTCCTGCGGTGAAGAGACACGGTACATCCATCCCCTAGGCGTTCGCTTGCGCTGGAACACACAAATTTCAAACAATATTCAATCATCATCATCATCATCATCATCATCTTGATGACTGCCACTAATACTATCAACATTCGTCTCACTACCACCATCACCATTATTATCCATATTGTTATCAATTTCAATAAAACATTCATCATCATCACTATCCATGTCATCAACATCATCATCACTATCCATGTCATCATCAGAATCATTATCATCTAGTCCACTGCTATAATCTGAATCTGAATCATCCTCAGCATCATCAATTGATTCATCTTCCCCCTCGTTCCCATCAATACCAATATCCATTCCATTACCAAATAATTCGTCGTCATAATCATGGAAGCTAAGAAACGATAACCAAGGAATGCGAAAGCGACTCGGTAACTGGAATTTTTTAAACAAAACAGCAGTAGCCAAATTAGTTTGATGTCATAGTATAAATGACAATCATTGCACCTTATTGGTTTCATCAATTAGAGAAGGTTCTAGCACGAAGGAAAATAAACTAAAACAATCAAGTCTTAATTAATGGAAAAGTAAAGCATACCAGTTCGATGTTTTCAGGTAACGTAGCTCTCTCAGCTGCCTTTGACGTCCACACCTTGATGTCACTTTCAATTCCACTGCTAGCAAGCACAGGAATATGCGGATGAGGCTCAATACAGTTAACCACATGCCTATCTGCTTCCATAACACGGATAAGCTCCCCACCTTTTTTCCTCCAAATAAATATCCGCCCACAGTCTGACCCACTAACCACATATTCAGACCGAGGTCCAAAAAAATTCACACCCTTAACTGTCTCACTGTTTTTGTGCCCCTTATAAACCAAAGGAACTAAGTGTTCGTTCTCATCTTTTGGGGAAGAAGCTGATTCTGATTTTGATACACTACTCTTGGATATCGGGGAGGATGGGATAGGGCTAGACCCTAATCCCATATCGGGTGTGAAAAGATAGATGAATTCATCATTGTATGAGACAAGAAGCTCGCTTTGCTCTGAGAAAGCCAAACCCGTTATTCCAACTTCTTCATTTCCAATAAGATGTGGAGGGCAAAAGTGATCAGCGGCTCGGGTAAAACCATTTGAACCATCACCCTGAAATCTACGGACATCATAAAGACGAGCGTACTCGTCCATTCCCCCAACAGCAAAGAGGTTAGAATTTCTCGGGTCAATCGCAATAGCATTTAGCTGGATGGCTTCCATGTTCCTCCTCCTAGGATCAACTGATTGGCAAGTGAAAAGTTCTGTAGGGGCTTCAGTCCTCAAGTCAAACTGAAAATGGGCAACAATGCAATTTCTTTAATCAAATTACAAGGATTCTAAAGTAGATATCCAAAAAATAATGCAGCTACTACTCACTCGTTGTACTAATCCATCTTCACCACATGTATAAAATATATGTGGGTTTCCTGGCTCTATACATAGCTTATGAGCTCTTCCTTGATGCAATCCCAAGAAAGACGTCTCCACTTTATCACCCTCAAGAATACTTGCACGCCGAACCTAAAGATATTTGGAGATTTAATCTAAGTAAAGAGTGACACAAACATAAAACAGAGAGTTTCTAAAAGCAACTCAAAAGATTTACCATTCCATCAGCAGCACAGGTAACAATGGTTCGATCATCAGAGAAAGGCATAAACTTTGCTTGAAATACGTTATTAGCGTGTCCTGAATGGAAGGATAGCTTAACATTACCAAGTTGCCAATCCCAAAGAACGACACGCCGATCATCGGAACCCGAAATCAGAACATCTCCTTCTGCATTGAAACTCACAGTGTTCACACATCCTTTGTGCTTCTCTAGCTTCTTGTATATCTCTAGACGCAGAACCAAATTCTACAAATACAGAACCAATAAAAATTATGAATCAATGGGTTTTATTTTCAAGTAATCATAACAATAATTAGTCAATTGGACGATACTACTAAATCCACCAATGAGACTCGAAGAAGAACCATAAATTTCAAAACTTTCGAATCCAATAGAGAAACACAAACCTCGGAGGCGGAGAAGCGATTGGAGAAATTACGAGAGGAGATTCCACCGACCTCTCGTCGCCAGAAATCAACAACAGGGTGATGTAATCCGTTAAAGTTTGATCGACCTTTCTTCGCTTTCTCACTCATCTCTTCCTATGAAATCAACGGTAATAGGAGAAAGTTTTCCACGGTTGACGAAGCTATAGCCTATAGACCAGAGAGAAGATTCTCCAATTGCTCTGTATCTCGCCGTGAAATTACTACACTTCGGAGGTCCTAGAGAGAGGAGAAGAAGAAGAAGCGTAGAGTAATGATGCGTAAGCCCATCGCCGGAAGAGAGGCGATTCGTTGGCCCAGTGAAAAGGTGACGCGTGTTATCACGTTATTAGTATTGGGCTTTTTGGGCTTCAGTTTTTCATTATTTTGGAGTTTCTTATTTTTATTTTTTGTTTTTTTGTTTCTTATTTTCTTTACGTCAAAAGTTTCTTTGATTAAGCAATAAAATCAACGAGATTAATATAAAGAAATGTGAAATTACAAATAAACAACACAAACAAGCCTTGATTTATTCTCAGACAACACAATTAAATACAATTTTATTGAGGTTTAGTTGTTTTTCATATCCTCCTTTTAAGATAGATACGCGATGATAAGAGACTGAAAACCTCATATCGAGCAAAGCCAGCTTCTGTAAGAACAAAGTCCCATTCTTTCAAAGTTCGTTCTTTCCCTGTGCTTGTGTGAACCATCATCACCATGTCAAGCTGCAATCTCACGTGCTCTAACTTGTCATCTCTTTCTTCTACTACCATAGTATTTTTCTTCTCTCCGATAACGCACTCCACTATCAACACTTTGCCGACATTTGGTGGGACAGCTTCTTTGCAATTCTTCAATATCTTTATGCAATCTTTGTCTCCCCAATCGTGTAACACCCACTGCACCCATTCAATTATCACATTTTACGTATTAGACCACGTTCGTCTTTTCCCACATACTTTGATAAAATCTGCAAATTTTTATTGAAAGCGCACCCCAAAAAAAAAGACATGAAAATGACATGACAATATGTGCAATTTCTCCTTTTTTCTAGTATATTAAAATACATGGGTATTGGTTAACAATATCTGGGGAAATTAGTAGTGGTTGCTTTATTTGTTGTGCACTTTCTATCAATTGATTAGCTACTTTGGTGTCATATCTTCATTATTCATGTTTTTGAAAGATGGTAAAAAATAAATACTGAAATTTGAACATCCAACTTTTTCAGTTTTTTTGTTAAACATCCGAACCGTTTTGATAGTTAATCAAAAGAAGATAAGAGTATGGAAATAGCTAGAGTTAACCTTGATGATAACAGCGTCACATGCGGGAATAGAATCAAACATATCACCCTCAACATTCTCAACACCGTCCAAGACTTGAGCAACTTCAATAACATGAGGAAGATCAAAGTTAAATCCTTTGATCCAAGGAAACTCCTTCACAAGTATCCCCAACGTCTCTCCCGTACCTCCTCCTACGTCAACCACCGTAGCCACGCCGTCAAACAAGCCGTGACAAGCTCCCGCTACACGTGGCATCACACGCCTTGCATCACAAGCCATGGCCTCGTTGATTAGCTCGCTGTGGCACGGATTATCCTGCGCGAACGACCACAAGTCCTTACCGTGCACTGCATCAAACGGTGGTGGAGTTGAAACATTGAGTACCGGCGAAGAAACGACTGAGCTCAGCTTCAACCATGGAGCAAGCATCTCGGGACTTGTTTCCAAGAGAAGCAAAGGAGCCTCCGATTTGCCATCACGTTTTGTGATCATCATACGGCGAGAGAGTGGCGTGTTAGTGTATCCTGTGGCTAAACCATCTTTTGTGGGGACTTCTTTGAAGAGTCCTTGGTGCACAAGAAACCTCATTATACGGAGGAGATGTGAAGGAGAAGCAGAGACGGCGGAGGAGAGTTCGGTTAGTGTCACCGGCTGTGACGAAGGATGGTTTTCATTGGCTTCTGGTATTTTAAGATCAATGGCACACTTTGCAGCTGCAATATCTGCAAACCCAAAGACATACCTCCATATATCTAAAGAAGCTTTCGCTTCTTCATCTAATAAGTTTCTTTTACTTTCTTCCATTTTGTTTCTATCAAAGATTTTGTTAAGTAAATTAAAAGACAGGTGATTTGATTTGAGGAATTAGGTTTCCTTTATAGTGATTAGAAAATAGAGGCATATTAGTAGTTTTGGTCTTATAAACTATAAAGTATATTAATTCAATAATCCAAACTTAGTTTATGATCATTGTTTTTCTTTTTTTTTTTTTTTTTTTGATAAACCCTATCGGCGGATCCGGTTGGCCTCGGTAGGAACGCACTGAGGTGCTACAGAGTGGACTTCTCTCGAGCCAGGTAAAATTGGGTCACCACACTGCCTGATCCGAGTTTGGAATACCTTCCGACTAATGCCAGGGGGTAGTCAGGCCGCCTGCATTTCTGACTACCAGGTAAACCAATTGGGCCAAGGCCCAACTGACAGACTTCCCAAACAAATGTGTTTTTGTTTCCAGGGAGAATCGAACTCGGGTCTGGGAGTTTCACCCTTCACCAAAGCTTCCTCTGCCACTAGACCACAGAGGCTTGGGCTTATGGGTTTATGACTTTCGATCACCGAATATTATAGATCATTGTCAACAATCGAACACATATCAGCATGTGAAAATACAAATAAAAAACAACACGGCTGATACTGAAACAAGCCGTAATTATTATCATACAACACAATTATTCACACGTCGTTATGTATATACCACATTACCACCAAACAACAACCACAAATTTATTGAGTTTTCAAAGGAAAGATATATCTTTCATGACCTTCTTTTAAGACCGATACGCGATGATAAGACACTGAACATCATCAATGTCCCGAACCTCATATCGAGCAAAACCAGCTTCTTTAAGAACAAAGTCCCATTCTTTCAAAGTCCGTTCTTTGCCTGTGCTTGTGTGAGCCATCATCACCATATCAAGCATCAATCTCACGTGCTCTAACTTGTCATCTCTTTCGTCCACTATCATCGTCTTTTTATTCTCTCCGATCACCGATTCTACTATCAACACTTTCCCGTTATTTGGTGGGACCGCTTCTTTGCAATTCTTCAATATCTTTATGCAGTCTTTGTCTCCCCAATCGTGTAACACCCACTGCACCCATTCAATTATCACGTTTTACGTATCAGATATATACTATGGCCTTGAATGGAGAGATGGAATTAAAGTGGTTCGTCCACAATAGCGTATGATCTGCTTGTATAACACCATTCATCTAAAAAAATCTGATCTGCTAATATTTAATAATAAAAAAAGAAATTGTACTGTGGCGGTACATTTTGTGAAGAAAGAGTGAGAACCACTTCCGGTTCTTGGACTTCTCATTTTTGTGGTGGTCTAAGAGTGTTTCTTCATTTATTTTATTATTTTATTATTAAACTTTTTGACAATCTTATATATCTATGTTTTCTTAATAGAGAAACAACCGTTCTCTTTAAGCTAATAATCTTTTTTTGTTCACATTATCTGATATAAAGTTGACTAGAAATAAACAGTATGAGTTAATATATCATTTTGAAATAATTTAAGTACAAAATAATTCAAATCTGATTATTTCCATATTTTTCATGATGTATTAATTAAATATATATTATTTAAACATATAATTGTAAGTAATAGTATTTATTACTTTTTTAAAAAATACATGTTCAATAATATGTTAAACTAATATTGCAAATTTATTTTGATATAATTAATTGTTTTTAGTATGTATAGTTTATATAAAATATTTTATTTTAAATTAATAGTTTTTATAATAGAAATATTTTATCTGTACTATCTGATCTGCTTTCACCATTCAACACATATTTTAAAGTGTTCGAACCACTTGATCCGCTTTTGATCCGCCAGATCTGCTTAATCCGCTTTTGTTCTGCTTGATACGCTTGATCCGCTTGATCCGCTCCGCCCGATACGCTTTCTCCATTCGGAGCCTATAATTTATTTAAATATGATTGAAGCCCTACATTAGAGTATTTATATCAAGATTTTTCAAAAAAAAAAATTAATGCTGGAAAACTAAGGAATTTAATACAGAAACCAACTATAAGTTTCGTGCTTTCCTATCTACTTTATGAAAACTTATACTGTATTGTTAATGCTGAATTAAAAAAAATAATGCTGATTGATTTGGAGAAAATGAGCAAAACAAATCCTTAAAGTGAGATTCTGTTCAATTTTTAATATATAAAAGATCTCTTATATATGTACTGTATTGGTTAATAATAACTGGGGAAATTGGTAGTGGTTGCTTTATTTATTTGATACTTGATAGTGGTTGTTAACTTGCTCTCAGTTGATTCGCTACTTTAATATGTCATATCCAAATTATTCAGGTTTTAATGGAAGATGGTAGAAAATAAATATTAAATGTCTACATCCAAATATTTTCAATTTCTTTTGTCTGTTTGAAAAAAATCGGATTTTAGAAACAGTAAGCTCGACAATTGTTGACAAAAACAAAAATGCTTTGACAGAAACAAATTAACTTAATTAGAATTAAGAAAAAAATCGTTTTCACTTCTTTTTATATAACTTATTTGTTACCGAGCATACCGACTGCAAAACCAGTGGCTAGTACCTAGACCCTAGTAGAAGTGTTAAAAAAAAAGTGTAGAACCATCGAATCGGTCGGTTTTACGAACTTTTAATTTAAACTCTACGTGCAACCGAAAATCTATTTTAAAAAAAAAAACTAAAAAAATCATTTAAAAAAAGGGAATAAAGAAAAGGACAACTATACAAGTTTTTAAAATAGAACGTAAACACAAACGTAATACAAAAGAAACAGATAATAATGTATACTTAATAGTTAATACTGTATAGCTTAGTACGAGGCTGATTGCGAAGTTAAAAGAATGATGAATTTCTAACATTTTACTTTAAAATTAAAAGGTTAGTTTATAACAATTAATTCAATTTATTCTTGTCTTTTATGTGAAATTTGATTTTGAATACTATATTAATGAAAAATGTAAGAAAAAATTAAACTAGATTTTAGTGAATACTATTAATCAGAGAATAAAGAGTACGGAAGTAGATTTAACCTTGATGATAACAGCGTCGCATGCGGGGATAGAATCAAACATATCGCCCTCAACATTCTCGACACCGTCCAAGACTTGAGCAACTTCAATAACATGAGGAAGATCAAAGTTAAATCCTTTGATCCAAGGAAACTCCTTTACAAGTATCCCCATCGTCTCTCCGGTACCGCCTCCTACGTCAATCACCGTAACCACGCCGTCAAACAAGCCCTGACAAGCTCCGGCTACACGAGGCACCACGCGCCTTGCATCACAAGCCATGGCCTCATTGATCATATCGCTGAGGAACGGATTATCCTGCGCGAACGACCACACGTCCTTACCGTGCACTGCATCAAACGGTGGTGGAGCTGAACCGTTGACCGGCGAAGAAACGACTGAGCTAAGTCTCAACCATGGAGCGAGCATCTCGGGAGTTGTTTCGAAGAGAACAAAAGGAGCCAGCGATTTGCCATCACGTTTTGTGATCATCATACGGCGAGAGAGTGGCGTATTAACGTAGCCTGTGGCTAAACCATCTTTTGTGGGGATTTCTTTGAATATTCCTTGGTGCACAAGAAACCTCATTATACGGCGGAGATGTGAGGGAGAGGCGGAGACGGCGGAGGAGAGTTCAGCTAGTGTTACCGGCTGTGAAGAAGGATGGTTTTCAATGGCTTCTGGTATTTTGAGATCAATGGCACACTTTGCAGCTGCGATATCTGCAAACCCAAAGACATACCTCCATATGTCTAGAGAAGCTTTGGCTTCTTCATCTAGTACTCTTCTTTTAGTTTCTTCCATTTTTTTCTGTCAAGGATTTTGTTTAGTAGATCTAAAGACAGGTGAATTAGAGTTGAGAAATTAGGGTTTTTTTATAGGGATCAGAAAATGAGGGCACAATAGTAATTTTGGTGTTATAACGACACAGTAGTAATTTCTGAACCGGACTGAACCTAACATGTTCAATGAATTTAGTGTTTCAATAAATTTATTGTTCGACATCAATATGACATTTAAGAATTCAATTCAATATTTCTTACTATTAAGATAGAAATTCAGACCACCTGGTATTTTTTTAGTTTACCACTGTCGATTACCGAATACTATAGACGAATTATTCGTCTTTGTTTGGATTTGCAGAACCGATTGTGAAATTAGCCCTTATTGAATAATATTGATATATTTTTTTGTGGACTCCTACCAGATTAAGGACTTAATTAGTCTCAAGCTAGTAACAATTAAAATATGTAAAAAAACCTGGTAAGATAAAATAATACTAGTCGAGACAAAAGGAATCGACAAGCTTCGGTGTTTTGGTCTACCAACTTTGATCCACCATTCCGTCTTGTATATTACATGAAACTTAGGATTAATGACTATGAGTTAAATTCTACCTAATTTAGACTTAAACCTTCCCTCTTAATATAATGCATTCAAAAGCTCTGTTCAACCAGACGAACGCATATCAAAGTAGCTGTCAAATGTCTCGGACATGTGTCATATTTGCACATGAAAAAAAATCCTCATGCAGAAGGACTTCTATTATACACGTACACATGTACATCAGTACATGGATGATGTTTCTATTGCAAGTTGATCTACTGTGAGTCTGTGACTATGTTTTCAGTTCAATTAGCCTTGCTTCGAATATATATATCAAAGCATACTGGGGGTAGTATCATCTTTAATATATACATATATGGGTTATATAATTTGTGACTATGGACCCTAAATATGCTTGTCTTGGTTTCCTTAGATATATTAATGGTATTTCAAAATAATGTTTAATGTAATTTTGCTAAGCCAGAAAATTACAGACACGTACAACTAGTGTGGGGTAAGACGACAAATTTTTTAACCGTGTTCACTGTCACTATTGTCTATAGATATGCATGTACGCTTGTTAAGTCACTTATTACGAAAGGATTAATGAATTATATATCATTAATGTATTAAAAATTTACGATTAGCGTTTGACGCCGCTTTGTAAGAAAGGATTTCTTTCAATATATTAATAGAAAGCTTTAATCATGGAAGTTATGAAATTGCGCTAATCTCGTGTGATCTGTGGACGTCAAAGATTTTTTTTGAACAAAATTAAACTCCGTGGTGGAGTGTCGCTAATCTCGTGTACTGTTGCTTTTTAAACTTTTTATGTTTTCATGCATTTTATATGGTAACAAAAAAGCATTAAGATACAAGAGTGTAATCCAATATAATTAAAGAAATACTAAGAAAAAGAAAATTAAAGGAGGTCTATTGGTTTGTGAGTTTTAACAAATTTAAAGTGTCAAGTTTGAAAAACAAAAGTTTAATTTGGCTTTGAAATATTAAGTATTTAGAACATTGTTGTTTTGAACGCATTTCTAACTAGTAGTTAAAATATAAATGTTTCATTTTAAAGCCATTTCTTAATTTGGCTTTGCAAATTTTAAATTTTTTGAAAAAAATCTAAAACTTACAAGGATTTTCCAAATCAATGAAATAATTAATACACAACCAATAAAATCCTCTTTTTTTTTTTTTTTTCGTCAAGACTTATTTTATTAAAATACCAAATCATTACACAAAAGTTCCTCCAGCCATATTGGCGGAATCAAGGAATCGGGAAGGAAAAAGGAACTTGAACAAGCAAATTTAGCAAGACTATCTGCTACCGTATTACAAGTATGGATACGAGGATTCAACCAATAAAATCCTCTAAAAATGAAAAAGTAGAAGAGTTTGCATATTTGGATGGCCGGCCTCTTTGATATTTGTGATCACAAAAAATGTTGAATCAGAGCATGGACGGCATAAATACAAATATCCTACACATCTTATCACTTAACATGATCATCTGAAGTCCTATTTTAAACATGTTAAAAACAAGGTTGGATTTCGAATTTTTTTTGCAAAAAGTTACGCACACAAAAGTGAAAGGTTTTGGTGTGACATATCTATTCTTGGTGGAAAATATTTCCAAAACACCAGTACAATATTTAGTCCGAGCCTTTTTATGCAGGGACCATGATCATGCTCGATATTATGTCTATTGCCTTCATTGGATATGATATTTGTTATCTTCAATTTGTTGCTGTCAACAAATTCTTCAATTAGAGTGAATTGCCATTTACAGACCCATTAAGTATTCATATCTTCGGACCTATTCCTGAAATTGTTTTCCATCAAATATCATTTTCTTATGTCTTTCAATCAAACACCATTTATGCCTTCGACAGAATAAAAACCTTTAGTCAGACCAGAGAATTAACGGGACATGAGTTATTTAAGAATTAAAGCTTTAAAATTCTTCCGTTGCTATATGTTAGTAACTTTTTTTTTGGTAATGAGCTTATATGTTAGTAACTTATAAACACTTATGTATTCTAATTAATTACATATATAATTTAATACCGTTTTTTTTTTCCATCCTATAAATTCTAAACTGCTTTCCCTACCCAAACCATCCAAATATCAAAGCAAATAGAAGTCAAAGAGAGATGGGAAACAATTCAAGAGCTATTTTCTCTTTATTCTTAGTTGTAGCCATATGTGCTGCAATTTTAATCACTCCCGGAATAGCTCATGACGACCAACCACCGCCGCGCTCACAATTTCCACCGGATTTTCCTATTGATTTGGAAAAATGTTGGTCATCACTTTTCAATACTCAGGGATGCGTATTCGAACTTTTGAAGTCCGTTTTTTCTGGTCAGTTTGGAAATGTTGGAGTTGCATGCTGCAAAGCATTCTCGACCATAGATGCTAACTGTTGGCCTCATATGTTTCCATTAAACCCATTCTTTCCACCTTTGCTTAAGGACAACTGTGCGCACATCGTCCCCAATTCCCCCACACACAAGTGAAAGCGAGGAATCAAATGACTTGATGCTTTATAATATAGTCGAATTAGTTTAGTAATCTAAGGAAATTCTTCTATACATGTTCTAAGTGCCATATGAATATCATCCAATAAAGTCCATTTGCGTAGTAAATTAATTAATATTATGGTAATTTATTAATTTACTCTATTCTGTCTTTTTTTGGTGAATTACTCTATTTCTGTCTTTGTTCACGAATATATATATATATATATATATATATATATATATATATATATATATAAACATGAATAGATATGGGAATAAAAGATTTAATAACTTATAGATTAGTTAGAGATAGACTTATACAATAAATTAGCTGAAGCTTGTAGTTTAATTGGTGGAAATGGCGAAATAAATGAAAGACCCTCTGAAGGTCTTTGTCATACACAATCAATACGATGTTTTCTGATCGCAGTTGATTGGAAAACGACTTGTAACAACCAAACCTATTTGTATCCTCCCACGAAATTTCATTTGTACAGTACTTACAAAAAAATGACCACATTTAACCGAATATATCAAGTTACTAAACCGAGTCCGATAACCGGACCAGAATCAAAACCCAAAATCTAAACCTTTTTATTTGACGCCCCAAATCGTAAACCAATTCTGCATGAAATAGTTTTAAGTGTCTAAAAATATTTATTTCTAATTTAAATTTTTTAAGAAAACAAAATTATTTTCAAAGTGAAACGGCGACTTTAATGTTAGACTTGAAGGCATGACAATAACTCGAAGTTGATTTTAAGAAATTAATTCGAAAAATATTTTCTTCAAAGTGGAAAGCTTATTTAATTTGACTTTGTATTTTCCCTGTAAGAACAAACAAAGAAATAACGTTTATTTCAAACAATATATAAACATAGACCGTTTCAATCGACCATCTTGACCCAAAAATCACAAAACTTTTGTTCTTTTTGTTTTTTAATATCACAAAACTTAACGTATGTAATTCTGTATGATATAATTTTTATTTGAGAGATACATTAAAATGATATATTAATTCTCGCGTATTTTATAATGGTAAACCAATAAAACAACACTACCGAATATGTCACAGTTCGATCATATTGATTTTTAACTTGTAATAGAAACACACTTCGATTGGCCATTTAAGTTTGAATTGTAGTTTTCTATATTACGATTTTTTTTTCTTGGTCAGCATCACCCGTTACTCTCAATAGTAATTTCTTTCGTTTCTTGCACTAATTTCCCATTTCATTTTCCCAACTTCTAAAATAGAGGTCACAACCAAAATATTGTAAAATTTCCAAATCAAAATCAAAAGCTTAATTTATTGAGAAGGAGATGATGACGTGGCCGGCTAGATCTTCGCCGCAAAAGACGAGGAAGCCGGTTTACATCGTGCATAGCCCACCGAACACAGACGTAGACAAGTTATCGACCAGATCAGGTTTTAGCCCATTCGGGTCACCCCTTAACGATAAGGGTCAGGTCAGCGACTTCCTTCATGACTCGGTGGCCGAGTCATCTTCGAATCCACGATCGTCAGGACCATTGAGAAACGAGTATAGAAGTGTCCAAGTGCATGATCTTGACCGTCGAATCCATGAAGATGAAGATTACGATGAAATGGACGGCCCGGATGTTGAGAAGAGGAGAAGGGTAATGAGGTTTTACTCGTTCTTGTTGTTTACGTTGGTGTTGGCCTTCACTCTCTTCTGTCTCATTTTGTGGGGCGTTTCCAAATCTTTCTCACCTATTGTCACTTTGAAGGTATTTGATCTCTTCGAACACAAATTTTAGGTAAAAATTTTACATTTTCTATTTTCCAAAATATAGTTTTATGAAGTATAAGAAGAAATAGATTTCTGTTTAGATTGTGTTTATTACATTAATATTTTACCAAAAAAATAATATATTTATTGATGACAAAGATGCATGTCATGATCATATTCCATTGCGTTCCAACCAAAAAAAAAAATGATCATATTCCATTGCGTTCATCTTCATAATTTATTTCAAAATCATCAATTTAATTAGAAAATTTGTGGAGTTGATTTTTAATCATTCAGCTCCCTATAGGGAAAAATTAATTTATAGTAAAATGTTTATACAAAAAAAATTATATAGATGGATTTTTTTTGGGTATGAAGTATACAAATGGATTTGCAAGTAAAAGAATATAACTTATTTATTGACGTATTGTTAAACAGAGACGGTTAGGAGATTTAAAAAATAATTTTGTCTAAATAACTTTTCTATCACAAATTGAATATTCACAATATTAATCAGGAGATGGTATTGGAGAGCTTGAACGTGCAGTCCGGGAACGACCAATCGGGAGTACTCACAGATATGCTAACCCTAAATTCAACGGTCAGGATCTTATATAGAAACCCCGCAACTTTTTTCACTGTCCACGTCACCTCTTCTCCCCTCCAGCTCAGCTATTCCCAGCTCATCCTCGCGTCCGGTCAGGTAAACCATTTCACATCTTATTAATGAAACCGGACCGGTTATTGATTCTTTTGAACTATATTAATTTCCTTTTTTTGTTTGTTGTGTGACAAAAATAGATGGAAAAGTTCTCTCAACGAAGGAAAAGCGAGAGAATCATTGAGACCAAAGTTTTAGGGAATCAAATTCCTCTGTACGGAGGCATACCGGCTCTTTACGCCCAACGAGCTGAACCGGACCAAGTCGTTTTGCCTCTTAACCTGACATTCACGTTACAAGCACGAGCCTATGTGCTCGGCCGATTGGTCAAGACTAAGTTCCACTCGAATATCAAATGCAGCATCACTTTTTATGGCGATAAACTTGGCAAGACACTTGATCTCTCCAAGTCTTGTTCTGATCATTGACCAAAATGAACAACATCATGATCAGTTCTGGTTTAGAGAAGATTAAATTATTTCATGATTTAATCGGTGAGATATACATGTAAAGAGGGACGAAATTGTTTTTATCTTTATTTTTCCAATACCACATCTTTCATTGTCGTAGAGCGTGTAGATACTCAATATATTTTGGAATTAACACTTGTTATAGTGTTGTCATCAATTTCTTTATAAGATTTGATCGAAATCAATAATTACAAAATTTGAATAATTTAATTGATTATATTAATAATCCCAAGGTTACCTCGTATGCCACGAATCCTATTTACATTCTAAACAATTGCAAGAATGCTTTAGGGGCTGAAGAAGTTTGCATGCAACCCCTTTTGAGCCAAACGCATAGCCGAGGCAACCAAAAGCAAAACGCTGAGAGAAGCACCTAAGCAACCCACCAAAACGTTGAACAACCACATTGGGCTTTTCCTTTGGGGCTTTTTGATAGAGATCCACATGAAACATGGATACGTAAACGTCACAAGCAAGGCTATTGCTCCGATAAGAACCGCCAGATAAGGCAAGAACGGGAACCCAACGGCTATAGAGAAACAAACCAAGCTCAAAAACACACGCAACATCATCCGGACAATGATGGATGCAGGCTTTTGTTTCTTGGTTATGTAAACCATCTCTATGTTGTCACACGCCGGCATTAAGTTAATCGGATATGAACATAAGCAAGAGAAAATAAACGTTAGGTGTATGAAACAGGCTGCTCGCTTCGAGTGCTCTTGTGTGTAAAGTTTCAAATAGTTGCCTACAGGACCTCCCGTCGCCGGAATCTATCACATATATATAAGAATTAACATTAAAGCATCAGTTGTTTCAACCACTTATGTTTTTACTTTCTAAATAAAAGTATTTTCTTTTCAAAATGTAAATGCAAACGCACAACAACAAAAAATGGAGTAGGGTTGGGTTTTGTGACCTACCTTGTCTCCGTATGCCCAATATACAACAAATGTCAATGGAAACATACAAATCGCGACGAGAGCATGAGACATCATCACTGCTCTCCACATTATCTTACTTGAAGGGATCTTTGAATCGGAAGGAAGAGTACCCTACAAATATCACCCCAAAGAAACCACATGATTAATACTAAACGAAAGATGCAACATACTTCGAAAACATCTAAATCATTTTCTAAATGCGAGTCCTTTAAAACCTGTATCTCAAGGACGAGATTGTTCCCGCGATAGACTAGAGCTATCAGTCCAATAGCGTTGAAAATGTGAACGAAACTTTTATCCGTTGTAGCGTATGATACACTGACTTGAGTCTTTTGTGCATCACTAGTTACAGGTAAAACCCATATCACGGTGCAATACGCAACGCCCATAAAAGCACCGATCAACGAGACTCCAAAAAGAGAATTTAGATTTGGAAACTGTGACATGATCATCGCAATGCAGCTAAAAACCAAGAAGCATTGCACTGAAGTAAGTGGCGCTATGTTGTCTTCAGACATAATTTGTAACAGTTGTTGTAATGATTTCCCTCCGGTTATAACCAGAATCGTACAAGCTCCTCCTGAGAGATACATCACAGGGAATATCCCGAGAAGTTTCCCAAGCTTCGCACCTAATTATATTGTTTCATTACAACATTATAAACGGTACCGTTTCAAGAACATAAACATCATAATAATTCCAAATCTCAGAAAACGACAAACTCTTAAAATGAATCAAGAGAATTTTATTAAATCGTTACATACCAAAAGAATGAATTGCGAGTCTCACGTATCTGCTCATACGTATTCCCGGAACCGCTTCGTGGAGATGAACAAGAAGCCACGTCGTGTAGAGCTTCCATACAAATCCCACCGTTAAGATTATCGTTCCCCATACCCTAGAAAAAATAAATAAATCGTTTAATATATTCTACTTGTTACACATATTATTCATACAAAAATAAAAGATCAAAACGATACTCAAAGCAGAGTCGGAGAAAATAAAGAAATAAAGAGAAATATGATTAGAGTTATTACCATCCGAGTGCTGCGAAAGCTGCAGGAAGAAGAATCACTTGGAGACCAATACCCGAACAGAGAAGATGAAACGTCGCCGTATAAACATTCCCTTTTCTTGATTCTGTGATCGGCAACCACTCTTCTACCGGAATCCTCCCACCATCGCCGCCGTTTTTATCGCCGGAGATTGGTTGTGGATCCGAGGAGGGGGCTGGTGACATAAATAAAGGAGAACCACCACTTTCTTGTGATTCCAAATCAAACAATTTGGCCAATGCTATAGACATCGTGTAAAAAGTTATCTTTATTTTCCTCTAAGTACTTCAATCGCGTTATTTACGTAGAGCCACAGATTGAATGGCTATATATATTTTTTTCTCTGCATTCCTTGGATTTATATAGTTTAATGTTCGGTGGCTATGGTAATATATTGACTTTGAATCTCTTTTTCCAAAACATAAAAAGTAAGGTCTTTTTCTTGGGGAATTGTTTTTTTCTGTTTAAGTGCTGAAGAGAATCTCGATACTTTAACACTAAACAATTCATATCTCTAATTACCATTTAAGAAATATATTCTGAACGGTAGAAATTATTAGCTTACTATATATGACATAAGCATTAATGACACGAGAAAGGTGACGTAATCACTTATGTCACTTTCAAATACTCAAAAGCAAGCAAGACGTACTGCTACAAACCGAAGTCTTCTAATTTTGTTCGGTAGCTTAAAACTCAAGTCAGGCTAAGAGTTAACCAAACTAGTTTGCCTTAGGTTGTGTTCATTGTTCAATTGGACTTTGTTTGCTCTTCGGATGTTTTGGTCGGTCAACGCAGGCATCAACTTTGAACTGAGCTTCCTTTATCGTCTCTTTGTATACACGATTAATAAGTATATTAATCAATTAGTTAGTTAAAAGATGATAAACGTGCGAGGTTATTTTGACTCGACTTTTGTTATAAACAAAAAGAATTTAAGTATGAGAAAAAAGTTTATAGAGTAGGCATCTAGTCATCTACTTTTACAATTCTAGTTATGTGAAGCCAAAGTTTCAAAAGTAGCTTCAAGTCTAGTGGTAAGTGAGGATTAGCTTCAAATTTAGCTTCAAGCTGAAGTTTGAAAAGTAAGTATAGTGGTAAGTAAGTATATTAGTTGGTAAAAAAAAAAAAAAAAAAAAAAAAGTATATTAGTTGGTGCATTTTCCTTCCATATGCTATATATAGAATAAATTAGTTGGGTGGGAAGCGGATATGAATATGCTTTCAAGTTAACCGGATATCGGGTTCGCTTATATGTTAAAGTAAAATTAAAACTGCTTAAAAGTATGAAACGGAAAAAATTAGCCAGAAATACGTATATGGCTATCTCATTTGGTAATAATAAGAGATTCAAAACCGAGTTAAAGGAAGAAACTTGTATCAGTCAACTAGCCCTTTGATAAAAATCAATAAGAGCTAAAAAAAACAATCTAATTACTACGTTGCTATCTCATTTGGACATTTGTTTTTTTTTTCTTTTTTTTTTCTAGGTCAGGGCCGTCAGGTAATAAGAAAAAGCAAGTGAACTAGTCGATTAAAACCAGTCAAGTAGACAACTAAAAGTTTAGGGATTCAATTTTCTTAAATCGAGTTGATGATGACCAGAAACATTAAAAATATATAAGTTTTGGATAATCCATGTTTAAATCCTTAATTTAATACTCTTTATCTTCTATACAATATCATCTCATTCTTACATGAATAGCAGAATAATGCAGTCGCGATTTGTAAAAGAGATCTTGAACGAGTAATGGCGCAATAGCTAAGTTAATCTATCAAACCTTCTATTTGAAAATTACGTAGTCACATTTACCCAATTCACATACTAAATTGACTTTGAATTCCCTTTACGTATTCCTCGTGATCATATATCGTAGTATTGAAAAGTCTTATCAAACGACTAGGAAATCACCCAATATTGGTCCTTTTTGCGTATTTTTCTTTTTGAAAGGATAATGTCCGAAGTTGTTGTTTTGGACAGGACGATAATGTCAGAAGACACTATGCAAGTGTTTGCTTTTAATAACTAAAAAGAAATTAGATTTATTTTAGAAAATTATAAAAAGAATGTCGTTTCGTAGAACTTCACACAAAAGCTCTTCAATTCCCACTAACAAAACACATCGAATAAGACATGAAATAATCAGAAGAATTTGTAAACATGAGTGAATATTAGGAATTTGATTGACGCAAAAGATTATTCATAATATTTCATTTTTATTTTATTTGTGAAAAGATAAAATAGATACGGTGATAACTAGTATTCCAAAATATATATTTAGAAAATCCAAATTATCTGTATAAAGTATAAAAATCTGCATGCCAAACTAAATAGATTAAAAAGAAGCAAGTGATTAATGATGGAAAAATATTGTTAAATACATTTTTAAAAGTATTACCGCGTTTGTGATGAAGTATGTTTTCTGACTTTAACGATTTTCCTTGGTATAGTCAAGCTTTATGTAATGATACTCCACGTGGATTCCGTGTCGGGCTGAAATAATGTTGTGTCTTGTAGTACTGAGGAATGCAAAAGATAATGACATAAACAGTTGTGTCATTTTCAAATACCAATTACTCTCATAACCTTAGCGTTCGCTCTCTTTGTGATACAAGCGGTCATGTGTGGCAACCACTCTCTTTGTAATACAAGTGGTCATGTGTGGCTAAGCTCAAGTCAAAGACAAGGTTGGTTTGAGTTAGATTGTGTCAAGTTGAATAATTTTAATGAAACAAGTCAGCTTTGGCATTACCAGATTTTTTAGGGGTCGGTCGAGATACTAGTTGATGTTACTTTTGACTCAGCATTTTCTTTATATAAAATGAAGTTTTCAAAATAATAATGTAGCAGTACTCTACTAGTGGTCGAAGTTCCAAAAGTAGCGATAAGTAAAGTGGTTCTCTATTGAGGATTGGCTAGTAGGTTCCGTTTCTTTATGTGATGTACAGATTATATGAGAAACATGAAAGCAAAATAAATTATACATATTACTACTATATTGCTTTTGGTAATATAAAAC